CCTCTTGCTCCAAGATAATCCACCAGTTGTGTTTTTGTCATTTGAGTGAACTGGTTTGTTCCATCATCATCACCAGAATCTTCCATGTTAGATCTTTATTCAAAAACTGTCAGCAAGATTTAAATTATCAAAAATTAGATCTCTAGAGCTCGGAACGAAGACTGGATAGGCTAACAAAACATAAACACATGAGGCCTAGGGCTAGTCACTTGACTTAGTAGTCACGCAGTCAAAGATCGTACATTATGAGCAAAATCGATACCCTTGTACTCGAAAACACCTGTGAATACAACTTGTCAGCATTTCATATCATTTCTATTTACGAGGAAGACGAACCGAATTTTCTTAATTGGAGATGTTTTTGTTTCTTAACAAATTCAGTTACATAGAGCAGAGGCCTACTGTACCGGCCTATTGTGTATTAGGTCTAAATCTAATACGCTCGTTCGAGTATCGGTTTCAGTATCGATCACAAAATCTCAGTAATCGACTATCCCTAGGGCCAATTAGCCGAAAACCGGATGTAAACAGAGATGCACGGGTGTAACCCTCAATACCCCTGGGCAAGATGGCTCACCTTACCGTGAAATTATCTATTAGAACAAATCGACCCAGCTACGGCGCTCGCAACAGCAACAATACAATAAGGTCATAAAAGAGCATCATGCGGGACACCCTTCCTCCAATTAAGACCGATATTGTTTCTTTTCCTGTTTTTTCACATTTTAGACGGTCGAACTAAAAAAGTAAAGCAAAGAAAGTAAAGTCCAACCGTCTATTCATGCACACTACTGTCACTACTTGCCTGGGGTGACCTGCCCCTGTATCATCATCATTCAGTCCACCTGAACCTCCAAAGCGAAGACCTTCGCCATCATCATCGTACTCGTCTCCCTCCTCACTTGGATGCCTATTTTGCCAGTTCGGAGGAATTCTGTTTGGAAACCCAAAGAATCGACGAAACACATCCCCGATGTCCATCTTTTATCAGAGTGGTGTGTTAACCCTGCTTATCAAGCCGTACTATTACATCAGACACTAGCTGAGATTTCTGGAAACTGTGACCTTTTTGTTTTGATTTTATAACTTCCTGTTTTCGATTAAAGGTGGTTTTTAACTTTACCGGTAAAAAGAGCTACAGAGCTGCTTTGGTGCTCATGCAAGCTATCGTTCGTTCTTTAGTTTAAAAAAAAAAAAATTAATTCACAGGGTACAAAACACATCGAGTTACAAGATATTATAGCTGTGTTGTATGAACAAATACCGACTCGTTTTCCTTGTTTTTGCCTTTATGTTCCAATATGAAACGATACATTGAGAAATCAAATTCAAAACTTCAGCTGGGCCTTCTTGCTACCAGCTGCAGAGAGTAATTGGAAATGAGAGTCGGATCTAGATTCTAGATCTAGTGACTATTAAAAATACTTTTTTTTTTCGAATTCCAGATACTTTTCTTATTCTGAACAGGTCTTTGTCACATGCACCCGATCTAAAACATTTGTTCTTAGATTCTAATTAAATCTTTTCTCGTAAGAGAAAAAATATTTAAAAGGAAGATAACCCCTTCCACTCTTACATCATCTATGGGAAAATCGCAGTTGCTTCCCATTATATTTAAACAATTGAATGAAAATATTAATTTAGCAGAGTATGAACTAAGGCATATAATATAGCCATCGGCATAACCCAAGAACAGCCACCGCACAATCATTTTTCTTCAAATGTCAGATCTAAAACAGAAGAAAGCGATCATGGTTTGTCTTTCATTTCTCAGTTTGAATGCGTAAAAAAAACCCAGAACAAAATACATGTAAACAACAACAACTAACAAACAAACTAACACAAAAACAGCGACAAACCCCTTTAAAACACAAGAGCAAAGCAAAAAGAACACCCCCC